CACAATATCTCGGCTCCGCGTCTAAAGCTGGACCGTCGTACCTACTGACAACAATTAGCGTCTGTTTGTTAATAAGCTTACGCTGGACGGGCAAGCGATTCGAAAATTACCATCACCGTTTGTAAGAACGTCAATACAATCACTAGCATCCTGCCGACGTTGAGTACTCGTGAGATTGTTCAGCATTCCGTATCGAGAGGTTTAAATAAATAAATAAAAATTAAAAATAAACAAAATACTAATCGCGGTAAGTAGAACATACGAAATAGGATATGATACTATAGTATATTATATAATTATGATATTGCTTAAATGGGTGGGCAAGCTCACGGCTCATGTGCTGGAGAGTTCTAAATCTCGATTTTACAAGACTGCCCCGCCCTTCGAACCGAAAGGCATTTAGGCTTCACGCCAGAAATTTATCAAACTAAAATAATTGTTTGTTCGTGAACCCCTACACGCAAATGTCGACCATACAGGCATGATCTACAACCACATAATGGCAAAATAAAAGATGCGCATAACATTTTAAGCGAAATCGGATGCGTAAACTAACCACGTTTTGCGCGTAACAAATCACTAGCGACACGTACAAACAAAAGTATTCTTTTCATTCATAAACCAGAAATAGTTTTCAAAACATTCTATATTATCGTTCTTAACTATAACCCGGCGGACTATCTACGTAAACACACACATTCGTAACACGTTAGCTCTACGTGTGTGCGTGCAAGTGAATGCGTGTTATTATTTCACTAGAAATAGAACAATAGGCCTGCCATACGAGTACTACAATGCCGGTAATGATGCCAACGGTGTCTGAACGTACGACGTGTAATAAACAATTATGTTTTGGCATAAATACTCGGTACAGCTCTGTGTGTAACTCCGGTATAACTCTGTGGTCTAACAGTTAAATGACGTAACTAAAAACAATTCTACAATTTGATGACAAATACATTAGTTCATTTATAAAGTACCTATTCATAAAAAGCGAATTTGAACCTTAATGTTGTTTCACGCGCCTTTGTTGGCTACGTAGTTTTCTTAAATCTATAGTTTTTAAAAAAAATCTGATTCCTTGGTACTTCGTCGATATTAACAGGACTTTTTGATCTTGACTTGTATTTATTATAATACACTCCACTAATAGTAATGTAAATGTTTGTAAAATCAGCCAATTTCTACAACGCTTGCGTGTGTATTTTTTTCTCTTAATAATACTTCCCTATTTGAATCGGTTTTACTTCAAAATTCAATAGGTTTAATCTTTATTGCGCGAACCCCTAATCACCTTTCTAAAAGAATAATAGAAATTTTAACCAAAAAAATTATGGAAATGGTTAGATCTTGATAAAATTAAACTTGCCCACATGAGAAGCATTAGATAATTGAAATCAAAAATAATCATCAAAATAGGTTATCCTAGTAAAAAGTTCTAAGTTCTAATAGCTAACCTCTTCCTTTTTGGAGTATATCCTCATTTACCCCTTATAGCATCGACTATCTTCTGGTAAAACTCCAGTCATTTTCGATCCAGCCGTTTCGGAGATTAGCGGGATCAAACAGACAGACGGTCAGACTAATGATTTAAGTATTGTATTTTTTTGTTTACTACACGTACGCTTACGACCCACCGGTGGGCCTAGCGTACTATACCATTCGGACCAAGCCAAAATCATCGAATCAGTAATTTTTATCAACTTAACATTTTCATTCTAAATTTTATAAAATGCGATAACTTGTACGGAAGATAAAAATTAGCGACTTTTATCGTCTAGTATACATATATTAAAAAGCCCACGAGTGACTCTTATGGCACAAATGGTTCAGCATGATAAGGCTCACCGGTGAGCAATTCTCGATTTTTCCATATGGCGTCAAAACTTTTTTTTTTCGTGTATATTCATTCTAGTAACCTCGAGAGGTTATTCTAGATTCACCGAATTGGTAGGTGAGCTCACGGGACTCAATCCTGACCACGCTACCTGACCGGTCTACCTGACCGGATTGGAACCGCAACCCACCGAGAAGATGCGGCGTGAAACTCAGTGGGCTTTGTCTGTGGGGGTGGCGTTCAACGTGTTAAAAAAACAAAACGCATTTATTTTACTTTCGGTTCCTCAATTAATCATTTCTTCATTATATTATTACCTGAGTAGCCGCGCGATATCAAGACAAACCAATACACGAACAAATCTCTACAACACAGTTCTTTTACCAACATTGTTTGTGAACGATAGTTTCGCATTTCTAATTGCAAACACGAGGTATCGCATCACAGATGAAAAGATAAGTAAATGTGTGTTTGCAAAACTTGTTTGCCTAACGTACATACATACGAGTATGTAGAATGTACTGATTCTGTTGTTCACGTATTGTGATTCGAAGATTTTGAATTTGCATTTTAATTTGTACACCGCAGGTGATAAACAATGAGATTACTGCACGCATTGTCGTCGTGGCCTAAAGGATAAGACGCCCTGTGCATTCGTATCGAACGATGCGAATGTGCCGGTGTTCGAATCCCGCAGGCGGGTAACAATTTTTCTAATTAAATACGCACTTAATAAATGTTCACGAATGACTTCCACTGTGAATGAATAACATCGTGTAATAAGAGTCAAACCCACAAAACTAAAATTTACGTAATTACTGGTGGTAGGACGTATTGTGAGTCCGCACGGGTAGGTACCACCACCCTGCCCGTTTCTGCCGTTAAGCAGTAATGCGTTTCGGTTTGAAGGGTGGGGCAGCCGTTGTACTGTAAAACTGAGACTTAGAACTCAGGTCTAAAGGTAGAGCGGCCTTTACCAGGTTGATGTCTATTGGCTTCGGTGACCATTTAACGCTAGATAGACTACACGCAACAAGGAACTATGCAATAAACAATACAATAGTTTTAAAACTCTAATAACCTGGCCAGTATCAGAAGGATAAAACAAAAAAAAGATTGAATAGTTTAATAATGAAATTTTATTCTTTTTAAGCTACATATGGTTTATTGTATTAAAAATAAGATACTTGTTTGTTTCTTGTGAATCATAAGCACGTAGGATTACATTATTTATAGTTTAACAGCTAGAATATCGACTTCGTAGAGGACAAGCTCTGAGTGCGCTCCGCCCCTAACATTAAATTTGTAGACGTAAATTTGACAAGAAGATTGATTACCACGTGTCCGTGTTCGATACGTTTTCGTGTAATCATTATATTAATCACATCGACTGTGCTCAGAGCTATTCGAGTCAACGCGATTCAATCATTTTTGTTGTGCCATGTGGTTGGTGCATTCATTAGAAATGATTTTTATGACGCGGCTCTATATGGAGGAGGCGATTTTATTTGTTCGACTTCATGGCAATGGAGGCACTCAATTTGAAGCCCATGATTTTAATACATCACCCGCAAAAGTTCTTTTATAGTTTATTCTAGTAATTTTTTTTTATATAGCTATAATAGTCCCAGACATTTCAATACTTTACAGTTTTCGTGGTAGCGAACGACACTGTCGTCGCTAAAGCAGTTTCTATTGTGTCTACGACTCGGAAAACCCTAGGAGAATACTAGACGAACTTGATTTTTAAGTGATTCGTAGACATTGCTACGTGAAAGCCGGCACCCACATGGCGACGCGAGGTACTGGTCTCTGGTAATGACATTGTAAACACTATCATACATTGGACACCGGAATGCATCACTATACCGCGGCAGAATTATAAATAACCTACCACCAGTTAACTTATGGCAAAATATTCCTCAATCAATGTCCGACAGGCTATATATAATGTTTAGTGTAAATGCAAATTAGTAGGAGGAAATGCAGTAGGAGTCTCAATAGTTTAACATCTGCCACACTCTTAAACTGTTACGCATTACTACTACTACATACTACATAAAAAAAGAAAATCACAATTAATTAATAAACTCCGTGTAACCAATGAGAGTATAATGAAAAAAATTAAAAACAAAATCGTAAATCATTAATTAGATTTTATCAGAACTGAAACCCGCGTGCGTTCGTATTTACAGAATTTACAAAACATACAATATATCAAGCGACGCGCGTGAAAAAATGGAATAACTCACTGTATTAATAAATATTTTAAATTATAAATCTTAATCACGATCCTTTCTTTTTTAACATACAGATAAAGTTTTATCGTTAATGTAACATTTTATTTTCTCCGTTCCGAACAGATTACAGTTTTACAGTTTTCGTGGTCACTCACACACAACAATCGCATTTTTTTTTTCGTCGCGTCTATGAAAACTGTAAAATTCGAAACGTAAAACCAATTTAAATTGTGCCTCACGAAAACCAAATAAAAAAAACAGTGACTATTAAATTTGTACGATTGGAAAAATTATGAAAAACCGTCCTACGTTCTAATAAGATTGAGGAAAATCACATAAAATTTTCCGAACAAATTTCTTATGAGAATACATTTTTAAAAGTGAACCCCGTTTTCCCCTTTTTGGTTAAGTCTTTAATATTTTGAAGAAGAAAAAAACTCTTAACATAAACAACGTTAATGTTGTTTGTTAAACTACAACCGTGAATGCCTTTGAAATCATTTAATCGCTTTTTACATAATCCGTTCTCTTAGTACTTACTAAATAAAACAGAATCGCACTAAAGACCGCGGCACAGAAGCGTATCGTAACAAGAACCCTTCGGTTCGGATCTGGCAAATGGGTTGCAAGTCGCGCGGCCGTCACATTAAACTCATGCACTCCCTTGCCGCTAGTGCCAAGGTCAGCGCACCACGCGACAACCACATCGCGCCGCCATCCCGCCCCGTTTAAAACACCACACAAATAACAAACATCACGACATACCTGTTCTTTTCTAATTCGTTATGTGTAGTCCTGTAACAAAAAACATAACATCACGGCACTGTCACGTAAACACTTATCACTCACTGCACTCACTATTATTATCACTAGACGGCCGACTCACCTGCTTCCCTGCGATTTTTTCGTCTTNACATCGCGCTGCCATCCCGCCCCGTTTAAAACACCACACAAATAACAAACATCACGACATACCTGTTCTTTTCTAATTCGTTATGTGTAGTCCTGTAACAAAAAACATAACATCACGGCACTGTCACGTAAACACTTATCACTCACTGCACTCACTATTATTATCACTAGACGGCCGACTCACCTGCTTCCCTGCGATTTTTTCGTCTTCGGACGTCTCCCCCCCGGCTTGGGATCTTCGTATATAGGTAACGCCGAGGCGTAACCGTGTTCCGCGTCTGCAATGAACAAAACTGCAATTCCGTCAATATCAGCTGATTACGCTACGGGCGAAAATAGACGGGTGCCATTTTTGACGTGTGCGTGTCGTTTGACAATTCGAACAAAGAAAAACAAAATACCTCGGTCACGGCGTTCGATGAATTCGGCGGCTTGGATTAAATCGGCAATGCTCATTTTAATGGTACGCGGAGTAAACACGGCGGTCACGAACGACACTCGACTTCACTCGAATGAAACTATTAATAAAAGTATCTCAGGGCGCTCCGAGATCCACGACAGCGTGCACGGACGTCAAAAACACACTGAACTAGTCGGGGACGCGAGACCGTGTGGAACGGTTCGTGATTTGTCGGCGCCACTCGGAGCCGCTTCGGCAAGCCAATCGCGGCACACGATGCCTACAATAAAATACCTGGGTCAATCACGTGAACTTTGTGTTTCCAAACAAAACATTTTTTTTTTCGTATGCGCTGCTCTTGGTGAAGTGGTAACTCTTCGCTTTAACGAAACTGGCTGGTTTTTAACAATCTGTTGTAGATAATAAGCACACATTTCACGATTTCACATAACATTTCAAAATAATACGTGTCTAGACATCCATTATTGCTTTAAATAATAGAGTACGTTGACTTTGTTTTCATTGTACTTATACTTAAAAAATTAAAACGACTATGTCACATTTGCGAAACACTTTTAATATTCAATATTCTCAAGCACGTTTTCAATGTATCATTCAATATAATCAACATATGGATTCTTGCGAACATGACCGGTAGCAGATGCTTCCTTGGTTCCTGTAACAATGATACATTTCTACGCTTAGGGTGTGTCGCCCAAGAGTCATGTGAACGTAGATGGAAATCGATGCAGAGCCAAACAAGGAATGTTCTTCCACATCGATTGTTCGGAGAATTGCATTTGTAATAATATAGATGAGTATTTGTAAAGGGGGAAGACGTGTTATGCCTACCTGCTGGACAATAACAAAAATTGGCTAAAAGATCTCGTAGTAGTTTAATAATCACCATTGTAAATTATTATTTTTAGTTTACTGGGTTGACGAGCTCACGGCCTGGTGTTAAGTGGTTACCGGAGCCCATAGACATCTATAACGTAAATGCGCCACCCACCCTGACATGAATTCTAAGGACGGCTTACCTGGCTGAGCCTTTGCTCGCCCACCTGTCCTGATGAAACTGGAAAGGCCTCAGGGCCACCAGTAATCCTTCAAGCATAAAAAAAGTGCAATGGCTGCCTCGCCCTTCAAACCGATACGCATTACTGATTCACGACAGAAATAGGCAGGGTGGTGGTAGCGCGGACACACAAGACGTCCTAACACCAGTAAGCCTCTAGGGTTTATACTGGCTTCACCGAGCGTGTAGGCGATCTCACGGGACTCAGTCTTGGAATCTTTGCTAGCATCTGCCATAGCAAGAGCTTGTACCATAAGCTGTTTAGAGAGCGCTATGAAGAATTTTTGCCTGAGCGAAATCTATGCAGACTGGATTTCCAGTCAACTTTGCTCCTTCATCTTTCCATCTTCTTTAACTCTTACATTCGGATGGACCTTACGCATGTCTGCAGCCGAGAAGCGGTAAATGTGAGCAAACGTGTTAAACAGCTAATGTAGTCAATAATAATAGTTCCCGATATGAACTGTGTTTGACCTTCGGACAGATAAAATGTTAATTGTTAAGGAAATTGTAATTTAATTACCTACTGTAAATGAAGATACAGAGAAAAATCACGCATGGTCACCTGATCCTAAACTAGGTCGCTCCTGCACTAAGAAACCAGACATTTACGTTAATATATTAAAACATCCGGACAAGAAACAAACAAATCTGTTCATGTCGCAAAATTGTTTGTCTGCAATGAGAATCGAACCAACGACCCTCGTCCCGGCTGTCTTGGGACGCTACCCACTATGCCATCTGGTCAGTCATTTGGAAAATACGTAAGATTGCTTTCCAGTACAAATAGATTTTGCCATTTTTTATTGTGATATCGGACGTATACGTGGTAAGGTCTGTGGTAAGGGAAGGCATCCAATCTCGGAGAGTGCAATATGTAATACTGAGCAACTGCTATTTGATTTTTTTATTGCCTTAGAAAGATGGGCGAGCTCATCGTCTGATATTAAGTTGTCACGCGCGATACTAAGATAGCCGCTATGCTTAACTATTCATTTAGGGGGAAAAGTAGAGGGCAGAAATATTTATTATCGATTTTATGGACATATGAGCATACAGCTTTTCTAATAGTGTGGTCATCATCATTCAAGGACGTCAGCAATGTCAGTCATGCAGCCGCCCACATGACTCCTTAAGTTCTGCCGTGAAGCAGTAATGCGTTTTGGTTTGAAGGGTGGGGCAGTCGTTGTAACTATACTGGAGACCTTAGAACTTATTACTCAAGGTGGGTGGCGCATTTACGTTGTAGATTTCTATGGGCTCCAGTAACCACTTAACACCAGATGGGCTGAGCTCGTCCACCCATCTAAGCAATAAAAAAAAGGGTGGGGCAGCCGTTATAACTATACTTGAGACCTTAGAACTTATATCTCAAGATGGGTGGCACATTTACGTTGTAGATTTCTATGGACTCCAGTAACCACTCAACACCAGGTGGACTGTGAGCTCGTCCACCCATCCAAGCAATAATCATAAAATAAAAAAAAACCTCGTATGAAGGTTTTACATTGGGTCACATCATTTGAAAATGAATAAAAACGCGTAACAGCTCCTAGTTAGGATTTTTATTGGGTTTTGAGTATCAAAAACACCCATCGGAAAACATACTCGGGCTCTGAATAACAAATATTGACAGAAATACTGAATCAAACCAGAAATAGAACTCGGGTCACGTGCTCCATTCAAATTTACTACCCACTAGCTAGACCAAAGAGAACAGGTATATGTATTAGGTATATAAGTAATATTAGGTATATAAGTAATATAATTTTGTGGTCGTCGTGGCCTAAAGGATAAGACGTCCGGTGCATTCGTGTGTAGCGATGCACCGGTGTTCGAATCCCGCAGGCGGGTACCAATTTTTCTAATGAAATACGTACTCAACAAATGTTCACGATTGACTTCCACGGTGAAGGAATAACATCGTGTAATAAAATTCAAACCCGCAAAATTATAATTTGCCTAATCACTGGTGGTAGGACCTGCTGGGAGTCCGCACGGGTAGGTACCACCACCCCGCCTATTTCCGCCGTGAAGCAGTAATGCGTTTCGGTTCGAAGGGTGGGGTAGCCGTTGTAACTATACTGAGACCTTAGAACTTATATCTCGAGGTGGGTGGCGCATTTACGTTGTAGATGTCTATGGGCTTCAGTAACCACTTAACACCAGGTGGGCTGTGAGCTCGTCCACCGATCTAAGCAATAAATAAATAAAACCCCTATCTTATTCTTTATTTATCTTATACTTCACGCGTTTTCAGATCTTGTATTTTTTCATTTCCCACTAAATATTTTTTAGAGACATCGAATCCGCTTGTGCAATTCACTGTACATAGTACATATACAGCTAAAAGTTTAAAACCAAAATTAAATTACTGATAAAATAATCTTTGACCCAGAACTCTTAAAAGCGAATTGGGATGTTAATGTACGAAAGAAAAGAAACAGAACCTTTTTTTGAGCACACCTTTGATTCGGCAGCAATTTAAGATGTACCCCACCATTCCTACTGTTTGACAGTGAACAACTCATTCAGTGATAGTTTTGAAAATGGTTCAAAGACTGAAACAGCCCTTATAAGATATAGTTAATCCTTCGACCTCAAGTCTCAAGGTGAGAGGAAACACTCACATTGTAATGTCTATGAACTCCAGTAACCAAGAATTAAGTGGAATAGTATTTTTTTTCTGAAATCTCTAAACAGCCACCCAGTGAAGGTTTTGTATCTTCATTCCTAAGCACATTATGTAAATCGGTCTATGAGAATTCCGTTAATACTAACGGGCTTTTATTAGCTTGACCGGTATCTGTCTATCTATATACTGAATCTTGCAACTTAATTTTTACAAAGTTCAAGGTGTCCTATGTATTTTAAAATTTACACATTATTGCTGATGATAAAACAATGATACTATTACTTCGGCATAATATTTTGACTAGGATCATCCACAGAATAAATATATTATTATGATTCGCATGATATACTTTGTCATGCATTAAAGTATGTTTTTTCGTTTTTAACTGCTATTTCATTAAATTTATGACATTCTTTTCTATTTTTTATAGTATACATTTGATTAAAATATATATGTAGCTTACCGTTAATATTCGAATTTTTCTGTAGTACTGGCTGAATACTCTAACCATAGAGCATAGAAAACTGCAGATCTGATGTGGCTTGAATTCACATTTGGAACCTTCTAAGTCTACACAACTGCTCAGGAGTGAAGGAAGACCCAATATAAAATTGAAGATAAGATACCATTCGTCCTATAAAAAAACAATTCTATTTTATTTTTTGATATTGCATAGAGAGCTCAATGAACTCACAACTCAGATGGTGTGAAATGTTTACCAATACCATTTGACATTGTAATGTCAATACCACCACCCACCTCGAGACAAAACAAAACAGAGGTCTGATCAAACTGGAAAAGATGACTATTTCACATGCAGCAATAGACAGGCCTATAAAATGCTTTACCACCAGTATTGTGTTTCTCAATATAATTATGGCTCTCAGCTCTTTTCCCAATATAGTTATGACTTTCAGCTCTTGTATGACAGTCGGCAGTGGGCATTCATGTAGTGACATGGACTTTGATACAACTTAACACCAGACAAGACGCAAGTTTGTTTGATAAATTTAAAATTTTTGCATACCTCATGTGTGAGTAAAGTAAAATCAGTTTCGTTGAAATCTGGCAGACTTGGGTATGTCCCTTCACTGATTCTCTCATTGTATGTCCTTATAATTGTCTCGAGTCTCGCACAGTTGTACAGGATGAATGATGCTCCTAAAACAAAACACCAATATAGTAATAATACAAGAAGCATCTTTTCTCACACATCTTTTTTTAATTTATAAACCTTAACCACATATAATGTGACTTCCACAAAATTAAATAGTAATAAATGTTAGGCTAATTGAAAATTGGCACGTTGGGCTCTCATCACCACCAGGTGTATGAGCATTTGCTATAAAATATATAAATATTGTTTTATACATTTAATTTATGTTACTTTTAGCTTCTGTGATTCTTTATATTCACCTTTACTAGATCCCATTAAAGAACAATTCATATTTATTTTAACAGCACTACTCGGTCT